TAGTAGTTTGTTTAAAATATGTCATTGCTAACTTTAAACAAAAACTAACATTTATTTAATTAAATATGTTTTGCCCCGGACAAAAAGCGGTGTCTACAGCTTCTTCTCTATATTTTTTTTACTTTTTCCTTCAATTTCTTGCTCAACTTAATTTGGCAACCTCCAGCAGACTCAGCGCAATGAAAGAAGCAGGAGCAGTACCGAGAACAAGTACATGGTGAACAACAGTTACACTAGTAGCAATTACATGATCTTCGATGACGATTACAGATATTAGAAATTTCCTTCTCTATTTCTGTGGATTGGTCAACCTATATGTATCCTTCATTTCAATTCTATTTTCCTTGTAATGCGTCTAGCTAATCTAAACAATATGATCCCTTACCAGATCTGCAAAATTTACATATCATGGAAAATATAATTTATCGATGAGTTTGTTTTATTTTCACACGTGTTAAGAAATTGTACTGGCCTGGTCAGGATAGTTTGTCTGGTAGAATGATGTGGTGGTGATTTATTTGCTACTAATTTTGTTTACTTGAGGAGAAATTCGAAGCAATCAATACGGCAATATTTAATTAGCAGGAGAATGAAAATATATTAATATGTCATCCAAGTTCACGCAAAAACTATAAGTTGGATTTATGTGTTGTGAATATTGGAAAGGGAAGCGAGCTTTTATAATGAGATGGGCGATTAAGTTTGGGCTACGATATAAATCATTTATTTATTATGAATAAAAGTGGGGTGTAGCGTCTAACGCAAGATGATGTGGCAATCCATTCTAGAGTAACCGGAGTGCTTTTTGGGATAATGTACATCGAAGATCGGATAGCTTTACCGTGTTCATTTTCATCTTTTCACTACTCCCATCCTCCCATGTGCATCCCCTCGTGGGATGAGGTATAGGTATGAATATCTATCCCTACTTTCCTGGCTAACAAGCACACAATACTAAGTGCCATATATGCACATACTCATCTTAAGATGAAAGTCTACCCAAATAAATAAAAAAAACCAAAGCGTTAATCTAAATCGAATAAAGATTGTTGAAAAAGTGAAGAAAAGAACTGTGTGAGTACCGGTCCTATCACCTACCTTTGAGAGTTTTGTTTTGCACCTTGTGCCTATCTCCTTCATTCCAGGACATGCTTTCTGGGATTTTCCAAATTGGGCCAAGAAAGGGTGGAACAAGCCAAGTGAAGCTAGTTACTAGAACCCCCACTCCGATGAAACACATCGAGGGAAGAGACATAAGGGGCTTCGAGTTGCATAGTTTGATCACGTGTTTGCTCAGGGACAAGAAAACGCCTAAGTGTGGGGAGTTGATAACACCCAAAAAGGTGTTACTTAGCCTTGATTTATTAAGTGTTTTTATGTTATTTTGACCATGATTTAATTTACAAAACATCATTTGTAGCCAAGACTGCTTCCTTTTGTCATTTCGCGTCATTTTGAGTTGCAATTAAAGTTAACAGCAAAAAAGGGAAGAAAATGAGGCTAATGTGTAGGAAAAGGAGCCAAAATGTAGTTCGCAGCTGAAGGAGTGAATATCACGGCCGAGATGTAGGGGCGCGAAGTAGGGCATGCAGATCACAACCTAGAAAACAAAGATCGCGGCCGCAAACTATGGAGCTTCGGGCGGGAACTTGAAGATGCAGCCGTCAAGGAAGGAACATAAATTCTTGATAGTCATTCGTAACTCTCTTCATTCGAGCCAACGAGAAAGATCACGATCGTGAATTCAGCCTGCGATCTCCAAAGCCATACAAGACCAAAGTTGCTGAAGAAAGGAGATCGCGGCCTCTCTCCAAAAATTCTATAAATAGGGGACTCCTCCCCTTGAATAGATATCTTTTGGCAGGTTTCTTGTTCTACACTGAGGTTAAAGAGAGAAGTAGAAGCTAGAAGAAGAAGTGGATGAGAGCTTTGGAGGAGGATTTTCAACAATTGAAGATCCTTTCCTCATGATTTCTTTCCCTCTTTGCATGTCTCTTCTTCCCCCTTTCATGGGGTAATCCCTCTAGGTACTTTAGGGCGTAGTCCCCCAAACCCTAGAATTAGGTTCTGAAGGTAGATGTAATTGTGTGGTGGTTTATGTATGGATATGTTTTCTTTAGTGATTATATGCTTCATTTATGCTTAATTATGTTAGGGTGTGTCTCTCCAACTCTTCCCTACTAGCCTACAACTAAGTCTAGAACTATGTGGGAATTTTACGGTTAGATTGGATTTGAGCACCATATGGCTAATTAAGGGTAGACGAACGACTTATGGTTCCTTAGTGTACGAGGCAATCGTAACCCTACTATAAGCATGCCCTCCTAAGCAATGCTAGAGAGGTTGTACGCGTTCTAATCGAAACACCAATCTAGTGTCCATGATAGGTTGAACCTATTGAGAGAAACAAAGTGAGCATCCCTAGTATGTGAACTTTGATTGAGATGACATTGGGTATCTGGAATCATGCTAGGAGGAGGAAATAATCATTGAAACCATCTGTTGAGCGAGTTCCGCACTCTATCCTACAAACCCAATGTAGCTAGCATTCGCATGATGAACCTAAGTTTAGGACGAGGGAGTTACCTCAAGTACTTATTCTCCTCTTTTGACCTTTAGTTTAGTAATGTCCAACTGCCCACCTGCTAAGTAACAGATTGACTAGATAGCAACTGAGTCTAAGTAGCATAGGATACCGTGACCCTTGGAATACGACTTCGGTTACATCTATACTACTTCTCTGATCCAGAGTGACCTTTCCTAGATAAGGGAAGTCAGTATTATCGAAAATCGAGTTTATAAATATAAAGCTTGATGTCTGAAATGCATCATATATAGTAATGACAAATCCCATATTGTCTAGGCTGCAACTAAGAAAATGGGATACAGATAATCCCACACTAATTGATGTCTAAAGCACTCCTACACAAGATAATAGATCTCTCACCTAGGTTAAGAACAAATCAATCACAATCAAGCAAGAGATTTATTCACAAACATCAAATAGACATAGATTATACGCTCAAAATCATTCAAACACATGACTCATACACAATTTATAAGCTACGGTTCATCTTCCCTAAACAACCTTAGGGATTCAAGTCATAGAGAGTGGTTGTGCTTCTCTCTAAAAACTGCCCAAAATCCTAATTTTCTCACTCTGTCTTGGCTCTCCTTTCTCAATCCAACAACTCTTCTATTTATAGGCCCTATATATCTCGGCCAAGATCACGACTGTAATCTAGTCTTGTTGACTAACAATCTTTAGCTTTGTCTATTAGTCTTGGTCGAGCGAGAGATTGCACCCTATGTTCACGGGGCAAACTTTGCCATGCGGCTGCGATTTTTTGATCTCGACATCAATCAACGTGGCTTGTGATCCGCCTAGCAAAACTTCATGTTCATTCTTTGACGATTCGTCCTAAATAGCACAACCATGAATTTCGAGATCGCGCTCGCGATCTCCTAGCTGCAGCCCGTGATCTTTGGCTTGACTTTGCTGGTTGGCTGGCTTCTCGGCTGACATCCTGCTCGCTAGGCTACGATCTTGTTCCTTTCTCCCTTTTGCTCGTTTTTTCTACATATTACCCCCATATTGTCCCCCTTTTTGCTTGTAACGTCAAATGCGACCTAAAATGACTTGATATGATAAAAATAAGTGATCAAGGCTACAAATACATGTTATATAATAATTCATGCCCAAAATGACAATAAAACACCTAATAAATGAGGGTTAAATAACACATTTTTGGATGTTATTAAGGAATAGATCATATTCTAAGGGAACCTTATACTTACTATTACTTTAAACTACTCTCCAATCAAATAGAAAGAAAGGTTTAAGAACTAAACGAACCTGCATAAATAAACAACCAACTAAGGAGTTTGGAGGTTGATAGTGATGAGATGGTTGTCTAGGATCGAATCCTTCTAGTTGTAAGATAGGTAGTCAATTAATTTCTATGGTTATTTGTGGTGCGAAGGTCACTAGAGTGGGGGTCAGTGTAAAGGTCATGTCGCTTGATCCCCTTCTAGCCATGTCCAACGATCCATTGTTACTTCAGTTGCTCCTTCTAACTAGGAATAGTTTCTACCTTCTCTAATCGAGTCTAACTCATCCGCACAAGCCCGATGAGTCAATGGCCATGCACTCATCTTGGTGAGCTCCTAGTTTCCACGTCATGGCCACCTCGTCGGTCAACTAGGATTCTCAATCAAGTAACATAGATAGGATACAATCATTCATACACTATCAAGAACAAACGAGCAAACCTAGAGCTAATTCATGCCTATATAACAAATCGCAATCAAGTACGTAAACTAAATTTTAAAGAATTTCAATAAAATGAATATTATGACTAATTAATTCATGAACAAACTTTTATTAGTATAGCTTATGATCAAACAATAAATTTAGCCGGGTACAAGCTAGTTCATTTAGCAATTGACCAATGATTGAAGAAACTAAACCAAAAGCAAGTGGACAATGATAAACAAGGTTGCCAACCCGTGGGTTGACCCGGACCCGATCGAGCTAGTGGGTTAAGGGTTAAGTGGTCACCCATTTTAGCCCATTTTAGCGCGGAAACATGGAAATAGTGATTATATTGTACTTATCCTCATAAATTATATCAAATCTCATCTAACATATGAGTAATAACATATAACATTACACCAAAGTAAATGTGGTACTTATATTGAACATATAGTGAAAATTCACACACACTTATATAACATCAATATTAAAATGTTCAACTAGGAATTCCAAAGATTGAGTTAGGCGAAAAGAAAAATCGGATAATAGGCGCATTTCACAAACCAAAGAAAAAAATGACACAATTTTTCCTCCAACCCGATATCTTGTAGCGGTCGACCCGATAAGTGGGTGCGGCCTATTTTTCTCATCGAGTCAGAATCAAAATGGATCACCGCAGTCGACAACCTTGATGATAAATAAAAACAATTTCATTAAGCAAAATCCATGGTTTCCCTCTGTGTTTATTTGCTTTGCTTCCTCCCCTAACTCCTTTCTTCAACGTTCTTTTACCACCGAACGGCAAACCATCCCTCCATCCCACCATCCCTCTCAACAAAAAACTAGAATCAATCCACCCATAAAACCGGCCCCCTGCCCTTCTGCCTCAGCTCCGCCGCCTCTCGCCGCTCCCTCTCTCTTTTTACCTCCCTAAACCGACGCCTAATTCCCGGTTATTTCCCGTCATTCTGGTTTTCTAGATTTCCCTCCAAATAGTATCCCTCTTCTTCCCCTCCCACGCCTCCTATTCCCAAACCCTAATTCTTTTCCCTCTCCCTCTCCGCTTCCGTCGTAGCCACCGTACAATTTTCCTCCGATCATCCACGCCTCTTCGTTTTCCCTCCCATCTCTCCGTTCCAGAACATATTTGACCGGAGTCGGACAGTTATTTGATTGCTGAGATTCTCTTGTTTTGAGCGCTGGCGTTGCTCCGTTTTCCTTCTGATTCAATGGCTATTTGACAATTTTCCTCGGGGTTGAAGTTGGAGATCGGTGTTGGTTTTGCGGGCGAGGAGTTTGAAGAATTGGGATCCGAGAGAGATGAGTAACCAGAAGAAGAGGAACTTCCAGATAGAGGCGTTCAAGCACCGGGTCGTGGTGGATCCGAAATACGCAGATAAGACCTGGAAGGTTCTGGAGCATGCTATCCACGAGATTTACAACCACAACGCCAGTGGCCTCAGCTTCGAAGAGCTCTACAGGTTTTTGTTCCGCCTTTCAGTCTGATTAGTCGATGGATGACTTTTTTTTTTGTTGTTGTTGTGTTTTTGGTGTTTGTGCCGAGTATGGGCAACGAATCTTTTTAGATTACAGAGGCCGGTGCTACGAATCGTTGATTACTAGTAGATGGGAGTGAAATGGATTCATAGCAGTTTCAGAGTATTATTATCAGTGTGTTCACTTTCTGGAGCCTGGTGATTTCAGTCTCTTGATTGCTCACAGCGCAACTTGCTTTGCATGAGTTTCTGTGGTATGCCGCTGATGTAGTAATTACAACTGCCCTAGTACGGAACATTTCCTTTTGAGATTGAGATTGCTTTAGTTGATTATGCCGGGCCATTCTGCACTTGTTTTAGGCGGAGTTTTCTGAATTAGACTAGGTTTAGAGTCTTACGGGACAGTGGTATAAAAAATTGTGCGTACTTGTTCTTTCCTTCTTACATTTGAGTGAATTCAAAGGGGAGAAATGATAAAGACTCCTGAAGAATCCTTCTTGCTATCTCTTGGAAAAATTTATTGGGGCTTCATTCTGTTCTATATGTATACTTCATGTCAATTTAGGCAACATTTTCCTTAGGTAACCATTCCAAATGGACAGCAGAAAACGCAGGGGTTCGGTTCTGGATTGCTCCTTTTAATTAATTTTCTTGGTATCCAACTTATTTAGTACCATTTGGTTGCTCCTCTGGAATGTGCGCTTATTGCCGGATAAAAATGACAAGTCGAGTGCTTTGACTGTTAAAGTCCCCTTTTTTCTTATACCATTGCCGTTTTGGTGGTTTCTACAGGAATGCTTACAACATGGTTCTCCACAAATTTGGTGAGAAGTTGTATTCTGGCCTGGTTTCCACTATGACCTCACATCTAAAGGAGATATCTAAAGCTATTGAGGCTGCCCAGGGAGAATCCTTTTTGGAGGAGCTGAACAGGAAGTGGAATGACCACAACAAAGCGCTGCAGATGATCAGAGACATATTGATGTACATGGACAGAACTTATATCCCTAGTAATCATAAAACCCCTGTTCATGAGCTAGGCCTCAACTTATGGAGAGATAATATTGTTCGCTCCAGCAAAATCCAGACCAGGCTATTGAACACTCTTCTGGACTTGGTCCACAGAGAACGAACTGGCGAAGTAATAGACCGTGGTCTGATGAGAAACATAATTAAGATGCTGATGGATTTAGGTTCTGCAGTTTACCAGGAAGATTTTGAGAAGCATTTTCTTGAAGTTTCTGCCGAGTTTTACAAAGTTGAATCTCAGAAGTTCATTGAATGCTGTGATTGTGGTGAGTATCTGAAGAAAGCTGAGAAACGTTTGAATGAAGAGATAGAGAGGGTGACACACTACTTGGATGCTAAGAGTGAGATCAAAATCACCAATGTGGTGGAGAAGGAAATGATTGCGAATCACATGCTGAGACTTGTCCATATGGATAATTCAGGCTTGGTCAACATGCTTCTCGATGATAAATATGATGACTTGGGAAGAATGTATAACTTATGCCGCCGAGTACCTAATGGTCTTCTTACAATCCGAGAAGTAATGACTTCTCATCTTAGAGAAACTGGCAAGCAACTCGTTACTGATCCCGAAAGGTTAAAGGATCCAGTGGAGTTTGTGCAGCGGCTCTTGGATGAGAAGGATAAGTATGACAGCATCATAAACAAAGCCTTTATCAATGACAAGACATTCCAGAATGCTTTAACAAATTCGTTCGAATACTTCATTAATTTGAATGCTCGTTCCCCTGAATTCATCTCGCTGTTTGTTGATGACAAGCTGCGGAAGGGGCTAAAGGGAGTTAGTGAAGAAGATGTGGAGATCATTCTAGACAAGGTGATGATGTTGTTTAGGTATTTGCAGGAGAAAGATGTGTTCGAAAAGTATTACAAACAACACTTAGCTAAAAGACTTTTGTCGGGTAAAACCGTATCAGACGATGCAGAGAGAAGTCTAATTGTTAAACTCAAGACTGAATGCGGGTACCAGTTTACTTCAAAATTAGAAGGTATGTTCACAGACATGAAGACTTCGCAGGACACAATGCAGGGATTTTATGCAAGTCATCCCGAGCTAGGAGAAGGGCCCACACTCGTAGTTCAGGTTTTGACAACTGGGTCTTGGCCAACTCAGCCTAGCGCCACCTGCAACTTGCCTTCTGAAATGTCGGCACTATGTGAGAAGTTCAGGTCGTATTACCTAGGGACTCATACGGGTAGAAGATTGTCGTGGCAAACGAACATGGGGAATGCAGATATGAAGGCGAGTTTTGGGAAAGGTCAGAAGCATGAGCTGAATGTTTCGACGTATCAAATGTGCGTTCTAATGCTCTTCAACAATGCTGAGCGGCTTAGTTACAAGGAGATTGAGCAGGCGACTGAGATTCCAGCCCCTGAATTGAAGAGGTGCTTGCAGTCCATGGCTTGTGTGAAGGGCAAAAACGTGCTTAGGAAAGAGCCCATGAGCAAAGAGATTGGTGAAGAAGATGCCTTCTTTGTGAATGACAAGTTCTCAAGCAAGTTTTATAAGGTGAAGATAGGAACGGTGGTTGCACAGAAGGAATCCGAGCCTGAGAAGCAAGAGACACGGCAGCGAGTGGAAGAGGACAGGAAACCGCAAATTGAAGCTGCAATAGTTAGGATCATGAAGTCAAGGAGGGTATTGGATCACAACAACCTAATCAGTGAGGTCACAAAGCAATTACAACAACGGTTCCTCCCCAATCCGACTGAGATCAAGAAGCGGATCGAGTCGCTTATTGAGCGGGATTTCTTGGAAAGGGATAACGTGGACCGAAAACTTTACCGGTATCTTGCATAATTTTCGATGGCGGGGAAAAAATGTGGTGGAAACAAGCAGGTTGCAGGTTTTCCTTGTTTCTTTATGGTTGTGGATTTTAACATTGAGAATCTGCAAAGATGTACACTCCCCTGTTGTTGGTAAGTGGAAAAATTGTGTTAGTTCTCTTGCGGAGTTATGTGATGGTTTCTTTCTCCCCGTAATGAACAGATTTATTTTGCTTCTGTTCCTTTTCTTGTCTGTTAAGCGTGCTGCCTTTCGTGTTTGCATAGACAGTCCATGCTTTATTAGGCTATAGATTAGATTGTCCAGAACGTAACAATGGTGGATTTGGGATGTGTAATGTGTTGGCAGAATGATGTTTCCAGATGAGGGGATAGTATCATGTTCCTTCCAAACTCGGTTTTAATCGACGAGGCGAGCTAGGAATAGTTGGTAGAAGCTTCCAAACATTTTTTGTAATGTTTCCCTCTTGCTTGTTGGGGGACGTTTCTTTTTCCAGAAGGCTAATCACATTATTCTGTGTTGAAGGTTGTTTATTATCCAAATTGGCCTCAAAGAGCGTGTTACGTGGGCCACTTTTGATGCATGAGTTTTGCTTCATTGGTATTAAGACAATGATCTTATTATCAAGAGTGCGAGATTCTTCTTTGGGTTCCATCTGCCCACTGTTAAGAACTGGGGTCTGCACTTCACCTCATTCGAACAACAAGAAAAGCTTGTGCACTTTCACTACTTCCACTGGTTACAAGTTAGAACTGCAGTCGTTGCTTAACGAGAGAATCCGTCTTGCCTCTTACTCGGAATGTGAAAGTATTTCCCTCCTACTCTTTTAAGTATCATCCTGTCATGTGCTATGTAAGAAGCGGTTTTGTATATCGGCAAAGGTCTTGACGTCAGTTCCCCACAGCCTGAGCAATATAGAGTTTTGAGGTTAAGAAATGATCATAACCCAGCTCGTTTTATAGCTATGAAATCATGTAGTAATGTAGTTGGAGAAGTGGGGAGTATACTTTACCAGCAGTCTATCCCAATGGCATTGGCTCCTTCCTTGTCTGCCTTAAAATCATCTCCAACGTGTACGGCTCTGCCAGCCGCCACATTCACTTGATCTTCAACAAATGAACCCAGCATAAAGGGATCAGAACCATCACTCAGGCTGTAGCAAAAGAACCGGGGCAGCTATAGATGCATTTACCTAGAGCAGCGTGGAAGATCTTTGGATCTGGCTTCTCGTATCCCACCTCTGAAGATACAATCACAGTGTCGAACCTGGAAACGAAGAACATCCTTGTTTAACTTCCCACTTTCCAGTACAAAGTTAGCAGAGCTGGGGATCATGTGAATTTGATGCTTACAGATGAGAAATGTTCAAGTCCTTCAGCAGCTTCCTTAACCGAGTGTCGAAATTGGAAACAACAGCTACCTTAACTGTTTTAAGTGTTATGATAACCCTTTAGGAGATTTGAACGAGAGGAGGAGTTTCGAGACAAGCAAAGGAGAGAGTGAGAGAGAGGCTCAGACCTCCAACATCTTTCAGGAGAGAAATGGTGTCGTAAGCCCCAACTGGTAGCCTCCAGGCATCTCCATTTGCATAGTACTGCAGAAAACCCAGTAGCCCAAGTGAGTTTCCCTTGCAATGAAGCAGAATTAAAATTACAGTTTGTAGTTACTACGACCTCGTAGACTTCTTCGAAGTAATCCTGGTTATCTGAGCCAGTGGCTTCAGAAACAACCAGCTTCCAGAAAGGCCTCCCATCTCCCTGCAAAATCACCACAAACAGCCATATCAATCAATGTATTGTAAGCAGCTAAATGCTTCCATGTTTTACTTGTAATTATAACGCCCACCTGGTATCGAAGCTTTTCAGGCCACGGAGCAGCAAAAGCTCTCCTAAAACCCTGTTTTACTTCAGCTGGAGTTGCAGTCAAGCCTACAGGAAGTAGAATTTAGGGGATTTTCAGATTCAGGGTAGCTAGTCCCATGGTAGCAATGAACGCGGTCGCCGCGCGGAAAGAAGAAAGCTGACCGTATTTCGTGCCGATGGAAGCGTAAATTTCTTCCACGGGTTTGGCCAATTGCAAAAGGGTTCCGCCGGCGTCCAGTAATAATGCATCGTACACCTTCTCTCCAGAATTTGCTCCTCCTGGAACTGGGGAGAAGGAAGAAGAAAAACCATAACAACGGCGACGAAAGACGGCGACTTTCATGAGATTATTGAATACCCAGAAGCATGTTTGAGGGAAAAGTCAGAACAAAGAAGGAATTTCCCACCGGAATGGATGGGCATGGAAGAAGATCTACGAACAAAATTCGAGAGCCTGAGGTTCTGAGATCTCAACAGTGGAATCCCGTTGGAGCATTTCGTCAAACAAGCTTCCATCCTCTTTCTTTCTTCTTTTTTTTTTCTTCCCCGTCAGTGATCAAAACTCCAGCCGGCCGCGAGAACAGAAGGTAAAGTGCAGAATCTTTAGGAACTATAATACAAAGAGAAGACTTTGGGATGGCCGAGGGGCGAGGGTGAGATATTGGAGGAAAACAAACAAAAAAATTTAAAACAGATAAAACCAGTGATTAGGGCTGCAAATGAGCCGAGCGGTTAGTTGTTCGCGAGTGGCTCGGCGTTCGACTCGAGAAAATTTCGTTCGAAACTCGGCTCGTTAATAAAGTAGCTGAACATGAACTAAGCTCGTGAAGCTCGTGAGCGGTGGCTTGTTGAGCTAAACTCGTGAGTTGGCTTGTTTAGAGCTCACGATATGTCTCAACTTGTGGCTAGAAAGCCAACTCGATTACCGACTTATGGACGAATCAATCTATATCTTATGATTTTAATTCATATAGTTGTTAAATTATATATCTCACCATATATAAAGTTTAACACTTTGAGTATTTGAGCAAATATATCTTATTTTCTACTTTAAAAAGAAATTATGTATCATAGATTTCTTCGATACTATGAAATAACATGATCTGAAGTAGTTAAAATTTATTAACTAAATGATATATGATACCAACAAAGTATAATATGAGATTAGCTAACAAAATAAATCATATGTATAATTACAAAATGAAGTACCAAATAAAAGTCAAGATTTTAGTAAACAAGCTAGCTTGAGCTCGACTCGACTCGTTAATAAACGAGCTGAGCTCGAGCTCGACTCGTTTATTAACGAGCCCTGCTAAACCTGGGAAAAAACTCGACTTGACTCGGCTCATTTGCAGTCCTAGTGTTGATTAATATCATTATATTCTATTTATTTGGTTTCCTCCAATACTCATACTCGACCCCGCCGATGTCGGTGTTAAACAACCCATTCATTTGTAGATGTTGGAGCTAAGATATTGGATAAATTACAAGTTTGGTCACCAAGTTTACTAAAAACGTCATATTTAGTTACTAAAATATTTAATTCCATTAGTAGTCACTAAGATTAGTTAAACATTTAAAGTTTGGTCACTCTTCGTCCAACTCCATTAACTTTTGCTGATGTGTAAGTCAACTCTCATAGTTGACCGTTAAATGTGTGACGTGGTAATTAAAAAATAATCTATTATAATTTCCATCTCATTTAAAACAAAAAAATTGAGATAAATAAAACACATATACAGAAAATGGATTTTCCTCTTCTGCTTTTGTGGTGTCTGCGCACAGGGATAATGGAAGGAAGGAGCAGAGCTCGCAAAACCCCTAATCATCCGTAACCCCTACCGGCGCCTCCACTTCTCCAAAACTCTCTCGAAACCTCCTTCTTCCCTACCTCACAACCTGTACCCTTTGACCCTACCTCGGTTCTAACGGCGGACCAATGCACTCTTTCTCCGTAGTAGGCAACAGCCTTCACCACCTCGATCAAGGCGGCTATACCCTTCCTCCGCTCACTCTCGCCGGCGCCGGCGGCTATGCCTTCGGCGATCACGTTCAGAACCCGTGCAATCAGGAGTCGTTATTCTCGTCGCTCAGCGTTTCCAGCATCGACAAAGATCGCAGATTGAATGGGTTTACCCGAGATGACAATCAGGACGGTGGCGGCGCTGGGGTAGGAGTTTGAGGGGGGTTTATTTTCGGCGGTGGCATTAATGTTAATAGTCATCTAGCTTCTAATCATCTAGCTTCTTCCAACGGTGGCTAGCTTCAGAATTGTGGTGGCTACGACGCCGGCTCTGCTCCTTCCTTCCATTTTCCCTAAGCGCAGGCGAGCAACAGACACCAAGGGGAGGATAAGCGGGTTAAGTGGATTCTTCAAAACACCATTTCTTTATATATTTTATTTATTTCAATTTATTGTTTTTAATGAGGTAGAAATTCTAACATGTTAAATTTTATGTTTTTCAAATTTTTTAATTGTCACGTCACATATTTAACGGCCAACTATGAGAGTTCACTGACATATCAATAAAAGTTAACGCAGTTGGACGAAGAGTGACCAAACTTAAAATGTTTAACTAATTTTAGTGATCACGAATGAAATTAAATATTTTTAGTGACCAAACGTGAACCTTTTTAGTAAACTTGGTGACCAAACTTGCAATTTACCTGAAATTAAACTCAAATACAAAAAGAAGCAACTAGGATAATGCGTCATTGTCAGATGACGTGCTTAGTTCCCTCCAGTTCTTACATTCAACATTCACAAAATACAAAACCTCTTTTAACATTTCTGTGGAGTTTTCTTCCATCTTCACTGGAAAATATCAGACATGAGATATTGTAGAAAATTAAACACAAAATGAGGAGCCACCCAAACCAAGTCTGTGTTGCCTCTCTTGTTAAATTCCCTCCCATCCTCACATGTGTCTTCTCCCCATCTTTATGTTTATTTACAACAGAAATGATAGAAGAGGAATTGCAGCTTGCAGGCCACACTAAAATTGTGCATCAAGTTAAGACAGAGAGCATGAATGGGATTTATAGGCTTGTGCCACGAGAGGGATAGAGAGAGGGCTCTTTTTCAAGAAACAAACCACAAGGCATGATTTTTTTAAGGCATCAACTCAGTCATGGATTCTTTCTTTCAGCAGTGTCTTTAGTTAGTGAGTTACATATTCAAGAGCACTGCATTTCTGCACAACAGAGGAGAAGAAAGAGAGATTTTCATGTGCTACTCAGACATAATCTTTCTTATATTATTTCCCATATGGATTGGATTGTATTTGTACAGGAGCAAAACTGCAATTCATCATTATTCACAACATATCTTACAACTTGCAACAATCCAATATAACCAATATTTCCAATCCTACACTATTCTCTCGGATTGATGGAATAATGCAATCCCTTACCTTATTTCAATTACAGTTCCATCTGTCTCTCGTCCTCTCCTCTTTTGAGGATAATTTAGCCAGAATTTACTTGGTATAATGGAGATCACCACATATGGAGGTCAGGAAGGTGATGTATACTTGCATGTCCCTGGAGCCGTCCTAGAAGCTCTCCTCCATATATTTTTGTTAGTATTCATCCACTCTAGAAATGGAGTGCTTCAAAGGATAATCTCATGGCAAGTTGGCAATCTCCAGCTTGCAAAGACCATCACTTCCATCTGATTTGTCCAAACGCAAAGGAAGAGTAGGCAAAGTGCTCCGGGACACCAGATATTGAAGGGTATATAACTAAGCATTATTGCTCTCTCTATATACTCTCTGGGAACTCACCCTGATTGAAAAATGATCTGGCCCTAGCTTCTTAATTCCATTTCCAAGGCTTGTATAAGGTGACCGACCGGTAAGCGCTTGAATTTGATAATATTGCTGCTACCCTGAATAGAAGAGAACAATTTGAGATCTATTACTCGCATGAAATCCATAACTAGTTAGGCAAGGAGTTAGAAACATTGAGTTGTGATGAGATATGAGAATAGGCTTTGAACTTACTGTGCATCAAGGGCCAGTTGTAGGTGGCGGTTGCAGCACCCTGTGCCGGAACAACTTTGCTAGGGTTCGCCGTTCACAATCCTGCACAAAGTTTAAAGAAAAATAGTTGTATTGAGTCCCAAACCAGATAGAAATGAAGTATGCATTTTCTCTCAGCTTACTATTGAGCATAGAAATTCACTAAAATGGCACTATCATATGTAATCTAACAATTGTCATTAGATAGATTAGATCACCTCAAACATGTTGAGATAAAATGGCTTATCCGGATTGGATCTCCTAAGTTTCAAGTAAGTGTATGCAAAGCTGAGTTGATCACGAGAAGTGAATCGTTCAACCTCATTGAACCATAGACACGAAAACAAATTTGACATTGGCGTGTGAGCCCTGATAATAAATGAACCTTCAGGCACATCTGCAAAGCACAAACCATGTGGCATCAATAACAGAACATGCAAAATTAACTAACCCCGAAGCCATTCAAAAGTAAGGAAGATTGAACCAGAACGCAAGGAAAGAAAACATACAACTCGGGAGAGGAGTATTTGGGCCTAAAGTGTCAAACTTGGTGAGACCATCAGACCGGTAAAAGTAGAACTGTCTATCTATTTCCCGATGGCTATATTTGTTTAGGCGCTTGTTCTGGAGTACCTCTTCCCATACACACTGACGATCATAATGTTTTGAAATAGCAAACTCTGATTTATTTCTCCACAAGAAGTGTTCAATGATATGCATCGGATCCACAACAAGTCGCAACTTGCTATCTACCCAAATTGAGTAGCTGAAAAGCGAAGGACGCAAGTAAATGGAAGAATAAAAATGCTAAAGAGTTTGATCAAGTCATGGATATGAAATTTAGGGAATTTAGTATGACGGTTACCGAGAAGAAGGGAAGAGGCGATGCGACAAGAATTTTGGCACCTTCCCGGTTCTTCTCATGTCTGAGTATGGCAAGTTTTTCACAACTACTACTTTCCATAGACCAACATATCCTCGACCGTCAGGTTTATTTCCCTCGGAAGATATTTTCTCAAGTGTTTGGTCATCCACAAACATGACAAAACAAACGTTTTCCTTTGCAAACTCACTCATCTGCAACAAGGATAAGGCCGTTATTCAATATAGCAAAGGACAAGGAATGTAGAGGCCAAACAAAATCTAGAACAACTCAAGAGTATGATATTATAGAATGAGTTGACTAAAGTTTTTTTGCGTCTAGAAATGATACACCAAAAGAATTCAAATTCAGGAACTTACATTTTTGCTAGCAGGCCTTCTTAGGAAATCAGAGCTGCCAAAAATGCAGGAGGATACAACAACTATACATTTGCTCATGTACGCTTTGTCATTGTCATCCAAATCAAACCCGGTGCTCGGAGATCCAGGCGGTCCTTTGACAAATCCACAATGAAGGGTTTGATTGCTAGCATAGAAGGAATTCTCTCTTTGCTCCATGGTCTGATGTCCTCCAAATCCCGACCTACTGGAATTCATTTTTGGAGGTCTCTCCTCACTATTCACGTACCCTAATGAAAATTGCGTAAAATTCCTCACTAAATCTGGTTCCATGAAATAATCCACCGCCTCTGCAAATTCAACTGGACAAGGAAGATCTGAAAAAAGAAAAAAAGAAAACCCGCCAACACTAAAGTAATGGGAATCAGAAAGACGATAATTTGAAAATCCAATAAAATGAAAACAGGGATATGAATTGGTCGCCGCATAACCAAAAATAAAATAAAAAATAGTAGGCATTCCGCAATGAACAATGCTCGGGAAAGCCTCCAAACGGTAAGGCAAAACAAACTTACATTGCTTCCGGTGCTTGCCCCCCGGAGGTTTCCCAACAAAACCGGCTCGGAAGAAGTTTTGACGCTCGATTTTGTTAGAAGAATTCGAAGAAGGGAATGAAGAGGAGTTCCCACCAATTTCTTCATGGACCAAGGAAATCTCCATCTCCATTGTCACCTTCCGTGAATCTTGCATATCAAAATTACCTGCTACTAACCAAAATAAACAAGACGGAAAAATTCCCCCGCTTAATGAATGGTGCCATTGCCATTGTAATAACAAAGACATAAAGCAAAAAAGAAAAACTGGTGGGAGCAGGAAGTATTCACCATGAAAGAGGAATCTGATACCGAAGAGACCGGTGAAAATCAAGCAAAGAGCAGCGAGCAACACAATCCAGACCCAATAAATAGGTCTAATGAACCGGCCAATCCTCCTCCCTCTTCGAACGAGTCGGAAACCTTGTTGCTGCTCCGTGCGACCTGAGGAATTAAACCCGGCACCAAAAGTGCTCCTCCTCTCTGGCGGCAATTCCACATTCAGCTTATACACCGCCATTATATTCTCTTTTGCACCTCACCTCCGGCGCAACCGCCTAATCTACGACGACCCAGGAAAAAATTCAAAAAAAACACGGAGGAATAAGTTTTGATTCCGAAGGAGCGAAAGGTGTAGCTCAAAGGGGTGGGATTACCTGAAGGATTTGGGAGGATTCAAGAGCGGCAGAAGCTTCGTTCATCGGCGGAGCGATTAATCAGTGTTCAAAACACACAAAAAAGAAAAGAAAAAAAAGTGAAAGAGAGTGAAAAGGGGAATATTATTTTCGGGGGTGCAGTCTCAGAAAGCCATACACAGATCAAGGATTTCCCAAAATTTTAGGCTGTAAAATATATATTATGATATAAAGCTGGATGCTGGAATATTTCTTTGTTTTCTATTTTATAGGAAACTCGGGCTTGAATGCTGAGTTTGACTGCCTGCTCTCCCCCACCTGTGTTGCCGTGTCTTAAACAAGTAACAAGTACAGAAAATCATGAAAAAATACGAGGGAAATTGGATATAATGAAAGGGATTAACATTTAACGACCATCTTTTAACTATTTTCAGTTGTATTTCCCCATTATACTCGCAAAGCGTCAATTTTACCAACTTAATGACCATCTTTAAACATTAATCAATTGGATTGATATAGAAGTCGATTAATTTTATGATCTTATTCATTCATTCCTATGTAATCTCATGATTCTTTGGAAGTTGGATTTGAATTCAAATTTCACATTAATACCTTATTTATGTTAAAAAGTATATGTTTGGCTTGCCGAAAAGTAATGTGTTCATAGTATTGGTACGAACCGGATAACATCTCCTATATTATTTTAGTGCTAATAACACTATAAAAATCAAACTATAAAAATATAATTTATTTACTAAACTATTCAATATGACAATCTAGCACAAACTATTTTTTTCGTTAATATTGACCGATAGCAAAGCAGTCAAAATCGGAATTTTACGTAAAATCGAAAATGGGGGCAAAATCGGAATCGTAAAATCGTAGGATTTTAAGGTCCATATAAAAAAGAAGACAAAATAATATTAATAAGGAAAATCACGTATAACACAAAAACACATAACACTTAGAATGATAATTTCTCAAGGTTAAAGTTCCATTTTTACCAAGGTTAATGTTAAGAGGTGATGAATTGATAATGATTAATACGTTGATGTAAATTGATGATAGTGGATGATGATTAGTGTGAGAGAACTAGATGATGTTGGTGAAGGACAAGGAAAAGAGACGTGATTTTGAAAATTTTGGGAAAAATAAGTAAAATTGACTCAGAGATTTTAAGGATTTAAATCATGAATAGTGTAGGATTTTAAGATCCATAAATTTTATAGTGAAATCAGAATCAGAATAGGTAAGTAAAATCGTAAGATCGTAGGATTTTAGGATTTAAATCGGGATTTTGACTATTCTGACCGCTAGTGTTTAACAGAAAATCTAGTCAGTAGTGATGTGACATATGATATGGAATTTAAACTGAATTTTGATTAATTTCTTTTAAATCACTTATGGAATTTTAAACTTAATTTTTATTTATTTCTTTTAAAATTAATTTTTTATTAATTTTGAAATTGCACGAGCTGACTGCCATGTAAGCAAAAGTTAACGAAAATTGATGGAGAGTGACTAAACTTCAAATATTTAACTAGTTTTATTGATCACGAATGAAATTGAATATTTTTAGTGACTATAGTAATTCCAGTGACAAATTTTATAATTTACCCAATGAGAATGCCACATGTAAATTTTGTGGTTCTTCCTTACTTTTTGCTTTGCTCTCTTACTTTATTGACATCTTTTCTTGCGGTGGAAGTGAGTAATGTCGTTGCTACCTGCTTCCACCCTCTGGTAAGAAGCGCCATCGTTCAAAGATGGTAGAATCACTTTCACCATCCTTTAAAAGTCAAGCCTCTTGCAGCGATTAGATTTGGACAAAGTAAATGGAGACAACTTTGTTGGGCTAGGTCAGGGGCGTACTTTTGTGGGGGTCAGATATAGATTTCATTCGTGTCACAGAAGAAACAAAAATGATAGAACTAAATTGAGAAATTAGGAATTTATAGCTTGAGCTGTTGGTTGATAACGATCATTCACTAAGAACCCTGAGAATTTGTGGCCTGGGGTTTTCTTGATTGTCTTTGACGAAGCGACGAAGGTAGGGATGGGTAGGGGTGGGCATTGGTGCGGTTCGGACCGCACCGCACCGTATTGATATAAACCGCACCGTATTCAATTGGACTGCACCGCTTGTTCGACCGCAATGTTATTGGTGCGGTCAAACCAAATCGCATATGTTAGCGGTTTGAAGCAGTTTGAACCGCATCGCATGTTTGACCGCAATTCAATATAAATTAAATATTAATTAAATAAAATTACTACTGTTTGACCGCAATTCAATATAAAATTACAACTGTAGGCTCCATTGACAACGCCAACATATTTACCGCAATTCAATATAAAATTACCGCTGTGAGAATTGTTTAATCTTCGAAGCCACTATTTTCAAACAACACAAATCCAATATAAAATTACCGCTGTGAGAATTGTTTAATCTTCCTCATATCAATATAAAATCATCCATCCACGGTTTCATCCAGCAAGTTTCTCAGCCTGAATAAACAGTTCACAACCAGAACCTCACCCTTCTTAACTCTGAAATTCAAGTACTAGTACCATAATAGATTTGTTAAGTAGTATCAGATCCCCTACTTGCTAGTCCAACACAAAAATTCCATCCACACACAGCGACATGCAACTAATTCCCCTCCCTCAACTAGATAACGGTTTTCAAACAGCCTTCTTCTTGCATAGCCTTCTTCTGCCACAGCCTGTCTAGAGCACTGTCTAGATGCATAAGTCTTCCCGCATTTGATGCATGATGCCTTGAATAAGCCGTCTTTCTTATACCTCCTGAATTGGACCCAAACTTTTGATCTAAGCCGCCTCCCTTTTGGCATTGGTGACTCAATATGAGTCGAAGCTGAACCAATATGATCACTAGCAGCCACCTTGCTCGTACTTGCATCATTTTCGATTTCCATCTCTTCCCCACTTGAGGAATCCATTCCAACATCATCACACTCGGCCTAAACAATAATAGAGTAAATGAGAACAGGGCATAAGAACATAAAGAAGTTTTCCTTCTCTCATATAGTAGCATATAATTTCAATCCCACATATAATTTCAAAATCAAACTTCTGATAATGAAAAAAGTGAAGAAGATAGTTATGATAAAACTTAAAAGGACCACTGTCCATTGCCATCAAACACCTCTATCATAGCAACAAATTCAAACACCTCGATCACAATTCACAATATCCCCCTAGCTAGCTCCATATGGGGAGGTGGGAAAGATCAAAAGGAAAAAGATAAGAGGTGAAGATTCACTTGCACAAAGAACCGCCCTCTGTGGAATATGATTATTCCATGGTCCTCATGGATAGTAGTAATTAACAAATTGTACATAATTAAGAAAGGAAACATAAAAATATATGTGACAAGGGTAGCGGTTTGGCTATATATATAACCACTATCCACTGCCAAGCTTAGCATTGCCGATAATCCTCACAAACCCACAATCATAGCCAAAAAAAGAATACTTACAGCCTGTAAGGGAAACTCACCTAACTGACATTAAGCACATTGCTGCTAAATATTGGTGCTTGAGCTCGTTTTCCCTTCGAGCCTTTTGATTTCATTTTGCCCTGCAAGCATATGAAATAAAACCGTTAGAACATTGAAATGTCATTAACACTAATCTAAATATCCATTGCTCTGATGCTCTCCCACTTGCAGTAACTCCACAAGTTCACTATAGTCACATTCTGTACCTAAACTATTGAAGGGAATAAAACGATGGCTGATACAAGCTATCAACACCTTCCCCCTAACATTCATTCTGGCAACCCACATGTACCTAGTAGCAAAGAGGAGCAAATTGAGCTCCTTCCAAAAGCTCTGGCACTGGCTCAATGTGTCCTTTTTCGGGTTCATGTCCTTTGCAGCGCTCATCGCTGCTCTAAGGCTTATAACAGTAGATTCCAAAACTGGGCATTGGTGATGCTTGTCAACAAAAGTTACAAATATGGGTTTCGAGGAAATCACACTATTCACTATCAACCATGAATCACCCACTTCCAAACAATCCAAAGGTTGATCAGTAATCGAATTTTGTAGGGGTGGGTTTCAACTGGATGCAGCTTTACACAAAGCTTCCCTAGATCCGTAACTTCAAATATAGAACCAAAGGAGAAAAGCATACCTGATCTCGCCGGTACATGTGTTTTTGACAGTCGGCCAAAGCACCGGAGCTCCGAGAATGGGAAAGATCGAGATGCCTTCGATCCTAGAAATCTCCCGGATCATGGTGTATTTGACAGTCCGCCAAATCTGGGGAAGATGGCGCCGTGGAGAGAAGATGTCGGAACCAGAGAATGGTCAGATCTGGTGCTGCCGCCTGCCGGAGAGAAGATGGCGCCGTGGAGAGAAGATGGTGCCGCCGGAAAGAAGATGGCGTCGTCGCCGAGAGGAAAGCTGTTGTCGTGTGTTGAGAAGAGGGGTACTCGATCTTAGCGGATTGTGGTTTCAAACCGCAACCGCGCGGTTTGGGTCAATCCGAACCGTGAACCGCCAAGCACTTAACGATCAGACCGCAAATGAAACCGTTAGTTTAATGATGCGGTTTGGATTGACCGCATAAGCGGTTTGGGGCGATTTGGAGCGTTTTGATCAAACCAATACCCACCCCTAGGGATGGGGAAGGAGTTGCGGCTGTGGTGACAGCAGTGGGTTTAGCTCATTTTGTAGGTTGATTATGATAATTTGGTTTCAATGCTGTTGGGGATTTTGAATGGTATGAATGAGAATGAAAGGGGAAAGAGTCAAGAAGAAGCTCTTGAAGTATCATGTTGGTATGATGTGGGAAGGCGTGGCGTCGAATTCGGTCAATTTAACGTATTATGTTGGTAATCAGTTAAATTGGTTTGTGTAACAAAAAAAAAAAAACGAACCGATGTTGCTGTTGGAATAACCAAACCGGTTCAACATTCATGGGCTGAACTGATGCAATAGTTGAGAAACTTTAAATGCCATTGCAATGAATAGCACACACACGAAGAGTCACCTCCCTTCGTACGCACCCCCTTCATTTTCTATAAATAGCACCAACCCCTCTGGTTTTTACATATGATTTCGCGGTCGCAATCTACGAGTTGCGGCTGTGATCTTCCTCGCGGTCAAACAGCGTTATGGTCGTGATTTGACTTGGGAAACTCTATATTTCTCACTGGCTCCTTCCTCGCGAAGTTCGCGCACTGAGCCCTCCAATTCGCGGTCGTGATCTTGGGCTTTCAGACCATGATCTTTAGCTTGAGTTCGCGGTCTACGTTCGCGATCGGGATCTTCAGCTTCCAGGCCACGATCTTCAGGTTCCTTCCCCCTTGCTACACTTGTGACCTTGTTTTGTACCTAATTCGCATATGTCGTCTAATACACCTTAAATTCACATCGAATTCACATAGAAACGAAATAGGGATGCAATCGACGATGTTCAAGAAATTATGCACATGAATTGTCACGAAATACACCTTGAGATAAGGACTAAATACACTAATTTAGGTGTTATCCGCAATATATAGCAATATATAAGTAGACTTGAGATAAATGCTCATTTATCTTGAATTTGTTTAAGAAGATCTCTCCTCATATTTTGGAATTATGTTCATTTTATGTTTCTGATATTTATTCATCAAGAGAATTTTAGTATTAGTGACTGTCTGGTAAGTTGATACAATATTCTTGCATGTGATTCAATACCAAGTTATATTTGGCTCAAGTTTCATAAAAAATTATATCACAATTGTTTTTATTGAAAAGGGTGAGAGGAACTTAATTAATTAGCATTATTTGTGATTCTATTTATTAATTATTAGGTAACTATAGGTATGACTCTAGTTACAAACTCAGTACGAAAGCTTTCTTTTTATAGTTGTTGAAATTCCTATATAACTTCTTTTTTTTGCCATAAAGGTCATGTATATTGCAATATACATGACCTTTGCAGGTCAAATCACAAATGAAAAATGAAAAGACCTTTGCAGGTCTGACAATATAGGGCTTTCCTGCCACGATATGGGCTGCCCTATGATACCTGAACGACATGGGCAATATCATGATTTTTCCCCTTAAAAGGATCAATATCATGAACTAACCATGCTGAAAATTGAAGCAGAGCAGCAAACCTTGTAAATCTGGCATCAGTTCAGCACAAAAAGCCTGTAAAACCTCCACTGAATATACCACTATCCTGCAAAATAGTTATAGTAGCTTCTCTGATTTGTTGAAAACAAACAAACCCTTCTTGGCCCTGAATAACAACAAACAAAAAGGAGCCACAGACCAAAGCAAACAGCACAATAGCCAATCCTTTACTAGCCCAATAAAATAAAATTCACAGCAAACCAGCAGTAACATATAAGAGACGTGACAATTAAAGACACAACAACAAAAATGCTATACAAGATAAACCCGCCACCGCACTGCTGTTGCTGCCGCGGAACGAGTGCGGATCTGGTGACTAAGGGGGTGTTTAGTCACTTGACTAAGCCCCTCCTAGCCATTAGATCTGGACACTTCAATCCAATGGTTAAAATGTGGGAAGAACTATTTAATTAATGGCAGTGGTAGTTTGGGTATATGAAAAATTACGAAGTATACAAACCGGATTTACAATCAGTACAAACCATACAAACATATGAACAGTACAAACTAGTGCGACAAAACATACAAACAGATTTACAAACATTACAAACGTAAGAACTGTACAAACAATACAAACTAGACCGACAAACAATACAAACCATACAAAAAGAAAAAACAACCGGGTTGACTTTTGAGGCTCCATCCCTATATAGAGGGGCTCCTTCCCAAAGTCAACCCGGGTGTTTTTTAGACATACAAACAGTACGAACATGGTGGACAAAAATGACAAACTAGACCGACAATCCATACGAACGGGAAAAAACTCTCGGGTTGACTTTGGAGGCTCCATCCCTATATAGAGGGGCTCCTTCCCAAAGTCAACCCGGGTGTTTTTTAGACATACAAACAGTACGAACATGGTGGACAAAAATGACAAACATGGTGCACAAATAACAAAGTTTACGAACATTACAATATAGCAAAGCGTACAAACATTACAAAATATGTCAACAAACATCACAAAATTGGCACTGTCGCCGGAAAATTTTTCTCCGTCCATGATGGTCGCCGGAATTTTTTTTTTCCGACCATAAAATTTCGTTGCACTTGGTAGGATTGGGGAAAGTTCCCAGCAAAATGGCCGGCGGCGGGGATTACTCCCAGCAACGGCGGCGGGGATTACCATCTGCTTTTCCACGGCAGGGAAGCTTTTCTCGTATGCTGTTTGGTGTATCAGAACGCTCTTGATGTAGTTGTTGGTAGGTTGTGTATTTTAAGTCTCATGTTCATGATTTGTTTCTCCTCCATGGCCATGTCCACAATTCTTTCTGGCCTGTGTTGTAGTAATTAATTTGCAAATATATAACTGATGAGTTTGTGTTCTTCTGCAAATGCCTTTCTTCCTTTAGCAAGTGTTTTCTCGTGAGCGTGCTGGTGGTGGGGAAAGCTGGAACTATGATGAGAAACTGATGATTTGAAATTCCTGGTACGTAATATATATTACACAAGTACACATCTACCATTCGTTCGTAGATCAGTAGACTAACACACCTTAATTAGCTATTTGTTTATTTTTTTGTTTTTATAGTATTGATGATTTCTTTTTAGTGTGCAGCAGCCGTATTGCACTCTGTTGGGGGTCCCTGAGGGAAGCGCTTGGTGTCGGTACAGTAGTTGTAAATCATATAGTGGCTCTGTACCCATCTCAGCTTCTGCTGATTCATGGAATCCAGCCGCTGATTCAGCCACCCGGACGTGGCAGCAGGTGGAGTACAAAACGTCGCCGTCTCGCCGCCGCTCCAAACGCATGCCTCCCCTGCTCTGAAATCTCTGTACGAGGCCGCGAATGGAGCGTTGGACCAATCCGTCTTCACCAACCCACCTCTGGTCGCCCAATCGTCGGCGTTCCATAGGCTCGAGTACAGCCTCATCGGCCGTGATTTCGGGAAAGGAACCCCGGCCGCCTCCAGGTTCTTGAATTCTCTTATCGGGGTCCCGTCAACCGAGAAACTGGAACGATGAATGGGGGAAAAAAACAGAGTAATTAAGTTGGTGGTCGGGTCAGAAGTTACGTTGGTGGTCAAAAAACAGATCGAGCAACCCATTTAATTTGCATCGATGAAACGCACGTACACGATGGTGTTGGGGTTCCAGAGGATGGAGTAAGTGTGGAAATCGGCGGTGGGATCAAACCAGAGACGGAACTGTTGCTCCCTGTCGCCTTTTCCGTTGGTGAATACGTTTGTGTGGAGGGTGTAAGGTTGGCCCGACAAGTTCCCCAGGAACTCATAGTCAATCTCGTCCCATGCCGCTCCCCCTGACTTGAGCTGCACGCATGAATAATTGGGGGAATTAAGAAGAAAAAAAGAAAGAAGTAATTAAGAAAGAAGAAAGAAGGGGTTAGGACTTACGAAGTAGGCGGTGACGGTGCCGGCGGAGTTGCCGGGGACGAGCTTGAGCTGCATGTCGAGTTTGCCGAAAAGGTAGTGGTTCTTGGACTGGAAGCCGGAGCCGGAGGTGCGGTCGAGAGTAAGGGTGAGGAGTTGGCCGTTGTCGAGTATGTGGGCGCGGCCTTGTCCCCATGTCAGATCGAATTCTCGATTGAAATCCGCGGCGGATATTGGGGGAAAGAGGAGGAAGCTTAAAGCCAGAATTGGAGGGATGAGGAGGGAAATGGAGGTCGACATTGTTCTTGTACGGGCCGGGGAATGGAGGTGGAGGATGGGTATGTGGTTTCTTTTCTTTATATATTGGTCCTCTGCTCTGCCTCTCATGGGCATGTGAATAGTGTGCATATATAGGTGCAGGACACTGGAAGACAAATAGAGAGGACAGCTATCTTGAGAAATAATAGTAAGAAACAAAAAGAGAGGGACTACTAAAAGTTGAATGGGACCGTACGTGTAAAAGAAGAACATTTATCTAGTAAGATCGTTGCTATTTAAAGCATATGTAACGTTTACTGGAAATTTCGAACAAGAGAGCGATGATAATTCTCCACTTATTTTTTGTGTGGGTATCGTCCGCTTCGAAAGTGATAATCTATCTAACAGTTCGGAAATGAGAATGAAGAACAAACACGATTTACGTGGTATCCCTGGAATTCCAGGACTAATCCACGGAAGAGCAAGAACACTTTTCGACTACTGATCTTACTGATGATTGTATGATCATACAGAAAATGCCGGCTGCACTACAAATACTCTACACTGCCAAACCCTAGCACTCCATGATTAACTTCACTACGTGGGCTACATCAAGACTGCATGGGCCTAACATGATAATTAAGACTCTATTGGCCCATAACTATATACGTACTAATTACACAGTAAAACGGAGCAGTACATATGTTTAACATCCTCCCCCAAATTGATGCCGGGTCAAGAGCATCAATTTGTCAGATAGAAAGCGGTGCCGGCTGCTCGTGAATGACTTTGTGAGAAGGTCTGCAACCTGATCCTCAGTACATACATAGTGTAGTGCAAACGAAACATCCCGTACTTCATCCCGAATGTAATGCACATGTATCTCTATGTGCTTTGTACGATCATGCAACACTGGATTCTCTGCTATGCGGATTGCACTGGTATTATCCACAAATAAATCCATGGGACTTGAACAATCGACGCCCATATCAGTAAGTAGTCGCCTTAGCCATGTCAGTTCAGAAGCAACATCAGACATTGCCCTGTATTCCGCTTCAGTCGAAGATTTCGAAACTTTATCCTGCTTTTTGCACCTCCAAGAAATAAACGAATTCCCAAACTGAACACACCACCCTGTAGTAGAACGCCTGGTGTCCACGCATCCAGCATAATCTGAGTCTGAGTAAGCTCTCAAAGTGGCCGAACCTGTAGAAGGAAAGTATATGCCCACTTCCTTTGTTCCTTGCAAATACCGGAGTATACGATATACTGCAGCTAAATGACCTGTTCGAGGAGTCCCCATAAATTGACTGACCAGCTGAACAACATAAGAAATATCAGGCCGGGTTGCTGATAAATAGATTAAGCTTCCGACTATACTCCGATATTGTGATCCATCCCTAACCTTCTCACCTGAATCCCTGCTCAATCTCAAATTATACTCCATGGGCGTATTGACTGGCTTACAATCTTCCATATTATGATCACTCAATAAATCAACAATATATTTCTTTTGGCTTAGCAGAATACCTTCCGTAGTTCGAGAGACTTCTAACCCAAGGAAGTAGGATAGATCACCCAAATCCTTGATTTTGAATGCCTTCTGTAACCCCTCTTTCAAGTGGCGAATTCCCTCCATGTCAGATCCTGTAATGATCATGTCATCCACGTACAAAAGAAGCAGAACAATACCCATTTTTGTAACCTTGATAAACAATGACGGGTCATTCAGGCTTTGGCTGCATCCAAGCTCAAGGAGAGTAGACTGAAATGTCTCAAACCAGACCCGAGGAGCCTGTTTTAAACCATACAAGGATCGGTTCAGTCTGCATACCTGTCCAGGAGCCCCGACATTATAACCCGGCGGCTTTTCCATGTAAATAACTTCTTCTAGATCGCCGTGAAGAAATGCATTCTTCACATCCAGTTGAGCAAGAGGCCAATTCTTCATAGAGGCAACCGCAAGGAGGGTCCGCACTGTCGACATCCGAGCCACAGGAGCAAAGGTCTCATGATAGTCCACCCCGTGCTCCTGTGAATAGCCTAACGCAACAACACGAGCCTTATGACGCTCGATCGACCCGTCAGGAAACATTTTAATTGCATAAACCCAGCGGCTCCCGATCGTCGGTGTATTAGGAGGGCGATCAACAACAGTCCAAGTGTTATTTGCATGATGAGCATCAAACTCACTCCCCATCGCCTCCTCCCAAACTGGATCTCCCTGTGCATCTTTGTAGCGGGTAGGGACGACAAGAGAGGTAACGCCAAATGCTATATAATCATCATAATGTGCAGGAGGTATACCCTTATTTATGCGTGAGGAGCGGCGAAGTGGAGGATCATCAGAAGAGACAAGTGGAGCAGTAGTAGTGGGAATGGTCAAGCTTGGGCTTCCTGCAGGCGATGGCATGGTCGAACTTGATTCCAAGGAGTGGCTGGGGGAGTCAAGATCATCAGGGGGCAGCATAGTATCCACGTCGGCAGGGGGCTCATCCTCAAAAGAAAACATGGGCAATGAAGCATTTGGAGGAAAAACAGACTCGGACTAAGAGGAAGGTTCAAAGAACCGAATATGCTCAAAGAAAACGACAGTGCTAGCGACTCGAACACGCTGAGAAACAGGATCATAACACAAGTATCCTTTATGAACATCACTGTACCCCATGAAAGCACACCGAGCAGTTTTGGACGTTAACTTAGTACGCTCCCGACGTGGCATTAAAACAAAGCACAGACACCCGAAGACCCGAAGACGAGAGTAGTCGGGTGGCCGAGAATAGAGCTTAAAAAACGGACTTTCATTGCCAAGAACCGGAGTAATTTGATAGTTGATTAGGCGAACAACAGTGACAACCGCCTCGGGCCAAAAACGACCAGGAACTGAGGAAGCTAACAATAAGGCTCTGGTAAGCTCAACAACATGACGGTTTTTACGTTCGACAAGACCATTTTGTTGAGAAACCCCAGGACAAGATTTTTTACTCAAGATACCACGAGATCGATACACCTCCCGCAAGGGAAAGGAGCTGAATTCCCCACCAGGATCCGAGCGAATAATTTTGACTGGTTTGCCGAATTAAGTTTGAACCATATTGAGAAATTCAAGGGCTACAGAACGAAGATCAGATTTTAATCGAAGTAGGTAAATCCAGGTATACCGAGTTGCATGATCGACAAACAGAGCAAAATAACGAAAACCATGACGAGACACAATAGGGGCAGGTCCCCAAAGATCTGTGTGTATGACATCAAAGGGTTCACAAATAACAGTAGTGCTAGGAGGATACGAGATACTAGCAGTCTTAGCTTCAACACAACTAGTACACAAATGATTTTCGGGAACAGTGACACGAGTTTGACCAAGTAAAGACTTTTGAAACATGACACGAAGACGAGTTGAGTGGGGGTGCCCTAATCGAGCATGCCACAGATCCCACTGCTTATTTGACTGACTCGAGACTGCTAAACAAGAAATGGGACTACTGACAGACCTAACCATAGAACTTGAACTAACAGGAGTGACGGAATGCCCATGTAGTTCTTCTAGACGAAAGAGACGCCCCTGCTTACTCCCCCTTCCGATCAGACTCCCCGTCTTCGAATCCTGTATACAACAACCAGTCGGAGCAAACGACACAGTATATCCTTGCTCAGTAAGTTGACCAACTGAAACGAGATTAGGCACAAGTACAGGAACATGTAGAGTATTACGTAGCAATATGTTTTCGTTCACCACATCACCCATACCCTTAACTTCTAGTTTTGATCCATTTGCCACAGTTAAGTCAATATTTCGGACAGGAGATACACCCTTTAGAACACCCGAATTACTGGTCATATGGTTGTAACACGCTGAATCTAGAAGCCAAGATGATCGAAATTTACCTGTACCGTGCATTGTAGCAAAGGCAGCACTTATGGCTGCACTTACAATTTGCTCAACAGTCTGGATGGTCACACCACCATTATGCCCAGCAGCTGTACTGCTTTCCCCAGCTGCATTGCGGCTGCTGCTTGCATCACCTGAAGGCGTTCCAAGCCCCCCAGCGTGCCTGCGCACTTCATCTCCAGCAGCTCTCCAACGTGGAGCATCCACAGCGGCAGCGGGATAAGCTCCATATGCTGCACGTTCATTGTATCCCGAACGCGACGCAGACCCACGGCCAGGATAAGATCCCCCATCGCGAGGTCCACCTTCACGGGCCTCATTACGTTCCTTCGTACGACAGTCAAGGATCACATGCCCCATCCGCTTGCAGTATACGCAAAAATTGCGCCGACGACAATGCTTCTGCAAATGGCCCTTCTCTCGGCAGTGGTGACAAATCAGATCGGTAATAGGGATCCGCCTCTGGAATTGGGGACGTTCAACAGCATACACAGCAGAACCATGACCTGTACCGTGAGCATTTTGTCCCGCGGCAGAGGCTACCAGTGCTTCACCTTCACCCGGGCGGAGATCAATCACCGCCTGAGTCCTCAAGTGAGTTTCCTCGCGCACAAGCGTCCCTAGCACCCCGTCGAATTGCAGAATATCGTGGTTGAGAAGGGTCGCACGAACAGCATCAAATTCTGTTCTCAGCTTCATCAAAAAATCCACAAGCCGAGTTTGCATTCGCTCGGCAATAGCATCTTCAGTCAGTACAGTTTGCGGACGCAGTGCAGCATGGAGGAGATCTTGCTCCGTCCAGAGTTCCTGTGCATTATTAAAATATTCGGATACGGATCGATCGCCTTGTTCCAGTCGCGCCAAAGCGAGCTGGATCTCGAACTGTCGTGCAGCATTAACAGTCGAGTACATCACTTTGAGATGACGCCACATACGATTAGCTGTAGGATATAACCGGAGGCTAAGACAAGTGGAAGAATCCACCGACCCGAGCAGCCAAAAGCGCACGCGTGCGTCATTCTGTGTCCATGCTGCGATAGCTTGATCTCCATTTGTTGGTTTGACTTGTGTTCCGTCAAGGATGCTGAGTAATCATTTACCTTCCACGAAGACACGAAACTGAAATTCTCAGAGTGCGTAGTTGGTTGAG